TTACTTGTAAATTACATGTGATTCATATGTAAATTACATATGAATCACATGTAACTCATATGTGATTCACTTGTGAATTACATGTGATATATATGTGAATCACATGTAATTCATATGTGAATCACTTCTGATTTACTTGTGAATTACATGTGATTCATATGTAAATTACATATGACTCACATGTAACTCATATGTGATTCGCTTGTGATTTACATGTGAATTACATGTGATTTACATATGAATCACATGTAATTCATATGTGAATCACTTGTGAATTACATGTGATTCATATGTAAATTACATATAAATCACATGTAACTCATATGTGATTCACTTGTGATTTACATGTGAATTACGTGTGATTTACATGTTAATCACATATAATTCATATGTGAATCACTTGTGAATTACACGTGATTCATATGTAAATTACATATGAATAACATGTAACTCATATGTAAATTAAATCGAAAGTAGAGGGTAAAAATCAAACTAATAAAGACGTTGAATTTACAATGACATGAAAGTCAGATTTAGATACAGATGTAAGTTATGGAATTGGAATAGGAATTATGAATTCCGAAAGATGAAGGAATGTACCAAAATATCTTCCTCTTTTTTCTCCGACACCAACAAGAAGATATAGAAAAAAATAGCATAATGTATTATTATTATGATGTTAAAGCCATATAATTTTCTCATACACCTATTGCATATTCATTTGTATGTTATGCGAAGTACATGGATCTCACCTGAACGATTCTAGATTTTTCCAACTCTCAATTAATTTAATAATTAACAATACCTAAGATAGTTGGAATTAACTACAAAAATCATGACAATAGTTGTTTAAGGGTGACACAAGTAAAAATTATGCACAAACTTACTTTACTTACTTCCACCTCCTTGTCGGATTGGCTTGACTGAACTTGTGGCTTAACTAAACTTGTAACTTTATTGTGGTCAAATGTAAATGACTTTTAATCAATAATAAAGTAACGCAAAGTGACCAAAACCATATACTCTTCAAAAGAAGAAACTATTTCAAATATGGTTTACTTGAACTACATGTAGAAGACCAAGTTGGTTTACAAATTTCATAGGAATCGGGAATGGAACAACAAAATTATGAACTGAAGTTTCAGATAAATGGAACAAAACCAAAACTTGAGTGGTAAAACCTCTTCAAATAAAGTTCAAGGTACCTGGGTGGAACAAAGTTCAAACTATGATACAATTTAGTGACATTAACCCTTTAAAAAAACAAATCCAACCTAAAAAGTTCCAGAAATTTGTTGAGGCCAATCTATTTATGAAAAATTCAACTTCTAGACTATTAATTTGTAATAAAACCTTATCTGGTCACTCAAAGAAACCTTTTAACTATAACATCCCGTTTATTAATAAATAAATAGATAAAGATTTATAAATGAATAGTAGCCCTAAAATCCATAATATTTATCGGGGTGTTGGTTTCGGGGAGTCAAATGACATGATTTGGAGTTTCGGGGGTTAAAGTGTAAGTTTCGGGATTTATTTTGTAAATATTTTCAGAAGTCAGGGGTGTTTGGTATCATTTGGACTTAATATGAAAGAATTTATGGAAGCAGGGGCTAAAGAGTAAATTATGGACCTAAGTTGAAAAGGTTTTGTAGAGGAGGGGCCATTTGGTAACATAAGGACTTCAATTGAAAATAATTTGTAGAGGGAGGGGCTGCTTGGTAAGATTTCGGACTTGATTTGTAAGGGGTTTCAGAAGGCAGGGTTTAAATAGTAAATTACGGGTTCGTTTTGAAAGAAAATGGAGAAGGAGGGACCAATGTTGTTATTATGGGATAATGTTTTATACCCCCCCATCCAAACCCTAACCCTAAAGATACTCAACCGCCACCACCTTATACCTCCCGCTCCCCTTCCAGCCGCCGGTGACCCTTGTGTCGGCAATAGCGAAGACGAAGGTAACCTGGGGATGGTGCTGCATCAGTTGAAGACCGGAGAAGAGGTGGCGTCGTGGTGGCCGCCGTTCATGACTCTCCAGCCGCCGCCTTTCCGTTCGACTGCCATCATTTCTTCTTCTTCTCTTCTTCCGTTAGCCGCCGCTTGCTGCCAAACGTCATGACCGCTGCTGTTTCCGCTGCTGTCGCCGCTCTTTCGCGCTCATTACCGCCGTTAGCCGCTAGTGTCGTTACTGCCGTCACCGTACGCCATCGTGAGGTGGGTGGTCGTGTTCATTTCCGAGCAAAAGACGTGTTTGTGTGCGTGTTTCAGTTTGTAGGCGTGTGTTTCTTAGCCGGACTTCACAAGAAAGCCACCACCACCACCTTGTACCACCGCCGACCACCACAAGGGTGGTTGTGTATGTGTTTATCTTATTGTGTGTGTGTTTATTTTGGGAATAATCAAAAGAAAACGCATAACCACCACCGTGAGGTGGTGGCTGTCGCCACCAGCCGCCGTATTGGGTGGCGGTGTGCTTTTGCTTGTGTTTATATTGCTTTTGGGATGTTTGGACATAATTGGACTAGAACCATAACCACCACCGTGAGGTGGTGGCCACCGCCATGAGCCGCCGTTGACCACCACTACCCGAGGTGGTAGTGGGTGGTGCCCGACTTATGAAACCCTAATTGATCTAAAGACTTAATTTTTGGGCCTAATTGGTGTGTTTTGGGTTGGAAACCCTAATTAGGGTTTAGAAAACCTTAATCTTGGATATTTTAATTTGGACTTATCGGGACCTGCGTTTTGGGCCATTGGAATTGAATTGTGAATTTCACCGATCACACCGCATGATTTATCTAGTAGAGTGATGGACTTAATGGATTAAGTCCTTAATGGGTTAAGTGAGAAACACTTAACATTAATCGTCATTTTATGTGAAAACCCTAATTTTGCTTGGGCCTTGAGTTGGGCTGAAACATCCCAAAAATACGGTCCAAAAATTTCGTTTTAAAATCATTATTTAAACCATAAACATCCATCATCATAATAAAACAAGAACCATGTATCTCAAAAACATCATGTCAAATACTGTATCAAATCATATAAGTAATCATCAGAGTCTAAAACAATCCCA